GGGCTGTTCAAAGGAATTCGCGAATGATGGGTAGTTTTGACGATACTACGGAGAGAATGCTCTCTTATGAATTCCAGCGTCTAGAAAGGAAGAAGTGCTGTTTCTTCCAGCGATTCTTCTGGTCTACATAAGGCCCATCTCACTGACGGGCTTCAGGTCGTATATCATTCATTGTGACCCCGTTTGTAGAATGAGGGCACTATCTGTTTTCTTTCAAAAATGAACGACCTCTCCCACACAAGAGTTCTGGATAGTTTCCGTTCGGGATGAAAAAACAACTAACCTCTATGATAGCGTCTCTCTTCTCTAACTCCTTATTTAACACTGCAATCTCTTCTTTCAGCTCCTTTACCTGCACCTTATTATCAGGAGTACCATCGCAGCATAAGACGCTGTCATCGAAAGACTGAAAGGGACAGAATGGGGTTCCTGTTCTGGCTAACGATCCCATCGAGATGCTGCTCGAATTTCGACACGCATCACGTCTATAGCGGACAGCTGTCAGACATTACAGGGGGAGAGGCAAAAAAAAGCCACTTTTCTTCATTGACTTTCGAGGCGCTATAAGTTACACTTTATTCTGATCGGACATTTTTACCACCATATTGAAGAGCATATTAAATACTATCATGACACTCCGCCACAGCCTTCTGGACGAGCGCCATCGAGAGATTCTGGCACGCGACCGCGATGTGGTGCCTGAGATCAGCGAGATAGTCGATTTCTCTGCCACCGTACCAGACCACCCCATTGAACTCTGCCCGAACCGGGTAATTGAGGGATTCAGGTCAGGTGACCTACTTGGATATTCCATCTTCTTTAGGTACTCAGCCCCTTCCATTCCAAGTAGGCGAGAGTTTCTCCAATGCCCTTCGATTCCATGTGGTGGCACCCAATGCTGTAGCAGTACAAAGTTTCCAAGAAGGTACGGGCGACGACATGTGAGGAGGATATTCTTCACGAGTTGCTCAATGTAACCGCCAGCGCTCACCTTCAGTCCGGGGTCCACGAAGAAAATATTGGTCTTTCCATTCCAGGTACGTCCGGTCCATACCATCAACCCGCGCCTTGGCGACTGTGGTGAAGATGATGTCCTAGACCGTGGCGACGTTGTCGGAGCTGCTCGATGTTGGAGGTCTTCCAGATCGAGAGTACTGCTCTCCAGTAAGCTGTCCATCGGTCTCCATGCAAGAAGTTTTGCAGCTATTTGGAACGTGAATTATAGACCTTCTCCAGTCAGGCTGCGATTGGAGATGACTTCATATTTTGGTGTACATGAAGGTGATGGGCGAGAGCCTGCTCCTGCTTATCGAGGAACATCTTGGGTATCTTCCGCCCTGGTACTCGTATCCACGTCCTCTGTCTGGGCAGCGAAAACTTTGCTGATATGTGACTCGGTCGAAGTGACTTTTTCCCCCCCCTGTATATAAATTACTGATTCTGCAGAAATTCATAGCTAGTCGTCTGTAATTCCAAAATGAGCTGCCCACGCCTCTTTTCACTGAACCATCCTGACTGAAAACTTTTGCAGCTAGCTCAATACTTCTAAATCCATACCAAAGAATGACTGGTGACCCCCGAAATGCCCTCTCCCTCGGCCGCAGGAGTGCTACAGACTTGTTCGCTGCTAGTGCTACCAGTTCGCGACAGTCAGTTCGCGAGATGAGGCGTGTCATGAGTTAGGGTTGACGCGCCGCCATACCCGCCTTCCACCAGTTGTTGCCGCTTACCCACTTCAGCAACTAGCGAAGAACGAGCTGGTAGCGCGCCAATTTGCCTCACTGACACATCCCTCATACGCAGCAAACAAGCTGTATGGACCCGATAAACGCTACCTGACTGAGCTTCCAAGCTTTCCTCCACGAGCTGCTCTTTCTACATGAGAGGGCATCGTTCCTCATTAATTCTAATTCTCTCTTCATCATTGTCAGTTCCGTTTCCAGCCTTTCATTTTTCTTCTGCACAGCCGCATATCGTCTTTCAAATGAGAGTAGCGTTTGGCGCACCTGTAATCGGCGCATGCTTATGGTTCAGCTTTTCCGAATGGCCCTGTTTTAGCCTAAGAGCCTGTAACGGGCGCACTCACGGCGGCTAAATTGCTAGGCGCAGTGAACATCAGGTGTCGATTGGGTGATCTATATAGCGGCAGCACACGAGTCAGCCAACTGGTATTTTTTTGGTTGTTGACTCGACATACTATAGCAGTTTCTCGTTGAATTAACTGGGTCTCTCTACGAATGCTGCGCAAAAGTGCCACTCGCTTTGCTGCACCATCGCAACGTGTACCCAACCGACACATTCCTAAACACGCAACTTTTCGCGAGCTCACCATCTTACCTCTAATAGTACCGCCTCAGAAGATCGCGTGAAAACGAAAGCAAACCTCTTGCAGCTCATTCAGTGTCGCCTGTAATTCTTCATTGGCGTTCGTTTCGGTGTTGTCTCCTTTTCCATTATGAGCGTGCGAAGTCAGCTGCTACAGAGAATACTATTAGGGAGGTAAGAAAAAACGTCAGTGTTTTTTGAACGGTCCATATTTTTGTTAAGTTACTTATTTTTAGTTTCATGTATTATGCTATATCCTACTATATATAAACGGCAACGTCTGTCTGTCTGTCTGTCCGGAAATTCGGAATCACCTGAAGAGCCAGTTGGAGGGGGCGGGTCAAGGGTGGGTTGGGTAGGGCATGGGCCAAGATGTACGGAACACACATGAACTAAGCTAAGCCCCGCCCACTGTGGGCGGGGCGTGCGCACATTAGTGAGCTACATTTTTCAAAAATTCGTAGTTCGGTTCCAAAAGAGCCCCGAGAGCGGAAAAAGTGGCAAACGATAGGCAATCAGTTGGCGGACGAAATGAGTGAGACAAACCCATTTTGGGCGGGGCGTTCTACAGGTGGAGCGGTGCTTGGTAAAAGGAATGAGAGAGGTGGTGGTTCAGTGGTTAGGATATAGTAATACAAAAACTCCACGAGATCCTCAAACTTGGGTGATTAAACGTTTATAAACTTCTTCAATAAACATCAATAAACGACGAGATTATAGTTAACTACTAACGATGAGGTCAACATAACAATGAGCCGTAACTTCAACAAAACCTGGATAAAATAAAGCTTCAATATACCGGAAGACATATTAGGAAACAACTTCAACAAAACATAGAATAAAGCTCCAATATACCGGGGGATTTATTAGGAAATAACATTATAACTCGTATCGTCAGAACACGTCTCAATAGGATCGCAAAATAGAAAAAATCTCAAGGATCGCAAAATCGCAAGGAGAGAACAATCGCAAAAAAAGGTAATCAATGGGAATCGGAGAGGAGACTGGGCTCACAGAGCCTTGCTCGCCCTTTTATATTGCGCTTTGGCGCGCGATCACGCCGCGATCATTCGAATGATCTGCCGAGGAGCGATCAAAGGAATCGCGAATTCGCGATACTCCACGCCCCTCAAAAGGTGCTTCTAATCTCACATAATATCGCACTTTCGCACAGATACTTGCGTGGCTTCTGCTTCTACGCCATTACGTAGCTCCTGTAGTCGGCGATGGAGATCGTCCATGGTAAGCTCACAGTGCGCCCTTTCAGCTTCTATTTGTAGGGACGACCTCCGGGAGCACACAAACGGCGGAGTGGTGTCCCCGCTCCTTACAGTGGAAGCAAGGTATTCTGAATTTTGGACATGACTGGCCTTTTTCGCACTCTAGCTCTAAGCAGTTGAGGCATCGACGTCTTCTCGGTATTCCTGTCGCATTTCTCCTGTGCGGAGCTGGTCGCAGGAGTCCGAGTAATGCCTGCCCTGTGCCTTGCAGAACACACAGCGCATGGTACTCTCCTCGAGACGATAAATGCCAGCTTCGTAAGCCCTGGGTGGACACGTCTTCTTTCTTGACAGCTCCCTCAGCGTCGAGCAACATTGTTCAGCTCAGTCGTCAGCGCTTCTATTTCTCTGTCGACTTCTTCATTCTGTTGGCCTGCCTCTTCCTGCTCCACTACGCCTTCCATGAATTCAGCGTTTGCGGCGATTCTTTCGGATTCCTCTCCTCGCTCGTCGAGGTTCTCCTCCGCGGCAGGCGGTATCGTGGGGTGACTGTGGCCTCTGAGATTGCCGTAAAGTGCTCGAGCGTGTCTTGCCATCGAGTCATCGATCCATCAACTGATTGTAGAAGTTCCAGTATCTTCTGGTGAAGGCTCCTTTGCTGAGTTCTCTCCTCAATAAGGCAATCCGATCGTAACTGACGAAGAGTGCTGAAGAATTCCTCTATCCCTGGAGTTGATCCTTGAGGATTCGTTCTATGTCGGACTGATCGGTTCGGAGAGCTTTTCTCTTGCCCTTTTGAGTGACATATTCTTGAGGTAACTCCATTCCCGATTGCCATGCTCTAGACGATGTCTTTTTTGTCGCAATCATTAGGGGTACGGTACCGGGGGATTTTTTAGGAAATAACATTATAACTCGTATCGTCAGAACACGTCTCAATAGGATCGCAAAATAGAAAAAATCTCAAGGATCGCAAAATCGCAAGGAGAGAACAATCGCAAAAAAAGGTAATCAATGGGAATCGGAGAGGAGACTGGGCTCACAGAGCCTTGCTCGCCCTTTTATATTGCGCTTTGGCGCGCGATCACGCCGCGATCATTCGAATGATCTGCCGAGGAGCGATCAAAGGAATCGCGAATTCGCGATACTTGGTGCGAAAACTTCCAAAATTCGTAGTTCGGTTCCAAAAGAGCTAGGAGAGTGGGAGAAGTGGCAAACGGTAGGCAATCAGAAATCGATGAAGCACACCCCTGATGGGCGGGGCGTTCGCCGAAGTGAACGGTGCCGAGGACAAAAACCCTCAAAACGCACCCGAAAAACCCCACGAAATGGGGAGTAAAGTGAAACTGAGCAATGGTTTGGCAGATGAAGTTAGTGAGGGATAACCGTAGGGAGTATACCAAATGGTTGGTACCGTCGGCAATAGGTTATTCTTCGATTCCTCATCACTAACGGGAGTGCCGCATAGAAAATTTTGATGACTGTCTTCTAGGGGGGAGGGGGGAGGGGGGGGGGGTATATACAAGAAGTGAAACGGTAAAGTGCGGTAATTCTCAAAACAATTTTTTTCGACCATTCGGCGGGGCCGATCCGACTGGCCCTCCCTCTCATGGAAAACTTCTCACCGGGACCCACTTCACACCCGGAAGGAGGATCGGCGGCGAATACGACTAGTTGTGGATTATTCCCCGACCATGAGTCTTTGCGTAAAATATGTGTGTAGACAGTAACCCCCTCCTCAACTGTGAATTCAGAAGCAAAAGCATCCAGAAGTGGTCATCTTCTACGAACGCCGACAGTCGGAACGTTAAAGGAACGCTCCGCTATGAAATGCAAAAGGTTATGTGGTTAGGTAGTGTGGCCCACAGTGGACAATCCTGTACCAGTTTCGCGTTGCAATCTCGTGTAGAGCCCTACTGTTGATTACAAGGAATCAGCCAACAAGACTCGTCCCAGCGCGCGGTCTTTCGTCTTTTACCCGTACAATAGTTTGAAGCTGGAGGAGTCCTAATAAACGCGTTTCAACGTTTCCCTTTGGCATTTTTACTTCATAGACGGGTCATTTAGTGAATTTTAGTCTATATTTCTACACCATCACCTAAACTCTTTATCGCGGGCGGTGCCTTAGACATCGCGTTTAAGGAAGGCATCATTACTATGAGAATTAAGTAAGGTGGCTCACTTGACCAAACGAGATGCATTTTTCAGAAGCAAGCATCGGTTAGAGTCCCAGGCAGTGGAAGACTGCGAATTTTTGACGCTGTCAAAGGGAACCCGGGTTTGATCAATTGCAGCCTTGCAGCGAGACTTCGGTGTTTCCGTCATCCAACCGTCGTGGTGCGCTCCCGCGCCCTCGGCTGTTGAAAGTACAAACATGATGAGTGCCAAACACCTTAGCATATAACATGCGCTAAATGCAAGTAACCATCTGTCTATTTGCTGCTCCAGCATTGGCACACACTCATCGCAACGATTTACGCCAATCAGATCCAGAAGCTCGAAAAAGCTGTTCGAGAAAAGCGGTCGAGGCGAGCCTTAACAGTTGCGTGTGCGGGGGGAGGGGGAAGCGTCGCGTGCGAGCGTGCGTGCGTTTTTTCTCATGCGTTCGCGACGAACAACTAGAGGCCCAAATTGCCCCTCGTAGACCACTTTTTTCCCCGCTCTACCAGCTTTCGCAAAATGATCAAGCAATTTTGCAGTGAGTGCTATTCTTGACCTTCTTGACCACCCTTGATGACACTGACACTATCTCAAGCCCCAAATCCCTCTATCACGCCCACTTTTCAGCGCGATCGTGATTTTTCAGATTTCGTACCGTGAATTCTGTTTCTGTGTTTTTTTTTATTTTTCACATTCATACAGTAATTCAAGGACGTTCCTACGCTAAAAAGGTTGCGGCTCTAAATTGGCACCCGCCAAATGGCGCCAGCACTGCAAAGGAATAAAGTATCTGCAGTAAGGATGTCAGGTATAGAAGTTGATATCGAGCTCGGTTCCAAACGGACTGCTACCGCCAAAAAGGAGCTTGCTGGCGCGATGGGGCGCCGAGACAAATACGATGTTGTATTCGTGATCAGAGCCCGGAGAAGTCCCCACAGTCAATGTGATCCAAAAAGAATTATTCTGGAGGTTGCTGGCATAGCAACTGCTAGTTGAAAAGTCCAATTTTCGATTTAAAATATTTCATGAAGACGGCAACATTTTTCTCGCTCATCCCTGTTGGAAGTTCACTTTTTACAAGTCATTAGAATACAAGAAAAGGATCGATAGAGACTGACGGCAATAACCCGAAAAGGGTCTCTGTCAGGAAAATATGATGGATGGGTGTGGTCTTTCCCCAGCCTAGCTCCTCCACTATTTTGATGGGCCTCTTTAGCTGC